ATCTGACTCTAAGCATTTCTAAAGGAAAAAAACACAGTTCAATCTGACTCTAAGCATTTCTAAAGGAAAAAAACACAGTTCAATCTGACTCTAAGCATTTCTAAAGGAAAAAAACACAGTTCAATCTGACTCTAAGCATTTCTAAAGGAAAAAACACACTTCAATATGTACACAGCTACTTAAAAAAGGTTGTCGGATAGAATGGCGAATGTCGATGGTCGAACGGCGATTGCACGACCGAAAGTAGCCATGGGTTTTACTAGTTGCAATGCAATAACAACTGATTTTTACTGTAAGATGGTTGTGATAAACATTGGCTCCATTTACTCTCAATTTCTAAGTAAGGTGAATCCAATAAGTGAAATTTTGTTTATCACAATAGCGTAACCATAGTTCCTTTCGGTCATACAATCTCCCTTCGACAATCGCCGTTTGCCGTTCTCCCCGATAACGTTTTTTGAAATAGCTGTATACTGAGCGGATACTGGCCGCGTTGTACTGTAATAACGTTGTCTTAATTCGGGATGGCGTTCAACGTGATAAGTACGTTTCACGGTCATGCGAAAACTACTTCCATAATGTATTAGGCAGTGTATTGCATATCACACGTTACTGGATCACTAATGACGTCTCGACGGCTGTGTTGGTCGGACTATCATGATTTCCTTATTGTTCATACCACCAACATGATCGACGGTCCTTATGCTGATTGACATCCAGTCATTGCTGAATGACACCCAGTCATTGTTGTTTGACACCCAGTCATTGCTGACGGGCACCCAGTCATTGCTGATGGACACCCAGTCATTGTTCATTGACACTAGTCATTGTTCATTGACACCCAGTCATTGTTCATGGACACCCGGTCATTGTTGATTGACACCCAGTCATTGCTGATAGACACCCAGTCATTGTTCATTGACACCAGTCATTGTTCATTGACACCCAGTCATTGTTGTTTGACACCCAGTCATTGCTGATGGACACCCAGTCATTGTTCATTGACACCAGTCATTGTTCATTGACACCAGTCATTGTTCATGGACACCCGGTCATTGTTGATTGACAATGTTCATTGCACATTGTCATACCTTCATTGCACATTAAATAATTATTCATTATTATTATATATGGAGAAATGTACCTCAAAAATAGTTGCAACATTATCTTTGTTTTTGGATATACTCCAATCGAGAAACAATTGCCACACTAGCAGCGATTCCTAAACAAAACATACAATTGTGTACTATTACAATCACCTGGAATCTTTAAAGCATATTTTCTCGGAAAAAGTAATGATGTATTTTGGTTACTAAAGACAGCTTTATCATATGTGGGTGTTCAGTGGATCATTGCACACTAGAAGAATTGCAAAACCTTAGCTCCGCTTAAACCTCACAATATTCCACTGACTTCTAATGGCCGTAGCCAAAAGTTGTAGAGAGATCCAGTCTTAAAAAAATTGTTTCATTTTTCTAGGATTAAAGCTATTGTTTATATGTTTTTACGAGGAAGGAAATGTATTTGCGGCTAATGTTGGCCCTTCTTTTATCAAAAACGAGTAGATGACTCCGTATTCACATGTAATATCAAAATTAGTGTTCTAGAATCTATCAGATACGTCTGTAATGCTGCTGATAAAGACTCGTGTACACAAGATGCAACGTGCCAGTGTGTTAAGTATGTCTGACCTTCTTACAAGCAGCGATAAATGCTTGTCTGAACCTCTGTTATCATCTAAGACAGATATACTAGCTATATATAGTAYGAACAGAGGTCAACACCAGTAACTCAAATCAACAATTAAAAGAATCATTGTTTGTGAAGAACCATGATTTTACCATCGTATATGCATAAATATACATTGTTTTGAAGTAATCAACTCCTTCAATACTTACAGATGCTGCAATGACTGAAAGGGCTTTCCAGAATTCCTCAGTGATTTTGTCGTTATCTGATTCTAAAAAAAATTACATATTTCACCCTGTTTCCTATGGTTTTACACAATAATATTAGATCTATATTACATAGAGCACTTTCAAATGGTCTCAAGAATGTACACAATGCGAATTCCCACTGTCAAAAGGTTTAGAGTTCGGTCCACAGGACGTTTTTGTTTGATTATACGATCACACTTTGTTGTTGAGGTTTTGACATTGAGTTGGATGAGGATGTAAAGCTGTTTCATATTCCACACTCTCTATCGTGTCATTTAATACACTCAAGGAATAGAACACAAGAATTTACCCAACAATGTACCAAGCCAACCTTGTAGTACTGAAGTACTGAAGTCGGCTTAGCTCACTGTTTAGAATAAAGGTTATTTGAAATGAGACAATCAGCAGTCTAAACCATCTACAATGTGTTAGCTTACCATGTATGGTAAGAAGTCTTAAATATTCAAAGTATATGTCTGTTGTACAATTCAATGATGTCCGTTCCCTTGACACACGAAGAGCCTTCTCAGTGTCACCTGTCATCAACAGCAAACGTACCTAGATACAATCAATCATGGCTGTTA